TTAAGATTGCCAGCCTTTTTAAGTGAAACTTTAAAAACTTGAATATTTAGACGAAAGGGTAACTTGCCTAAAACTGGAAAATTCTCAGATGTTGACGAAATTTTAAAAACGTTATTAATAAATGGCCCTTAAAATAAATCTAAAGCAAGTAACGCACCAAGCCATTTGCCCCAACTCCTAAAAATCCACTCAGTTCYYCAGGCCTACCAGATTTGAAGCGCTGTAAAAGCGAAAACTGATGTCCTCATTCGGCCCTAATTCMCGATATTCTCTTTCAGCTAAACGTCAATATGGAGCCCCCAAAGAGTCGATTTCCCTAGCCGAAGGCATGCCGAACGAAGTGACCTTTCCCTTCCAAGCAATCAACATCCTGATGAAGGACGGCTCCACTCTTAGCCTGCAAGGGCAACAACTCAACTCCGCGCTGCAGTACATCCCCACGCAAGGCTACCCTCCTCTGCTGAAGAAACTGAAGGACTTCACCCAGCAGATCCATAATCCCCCCAACTGGCAGGACCGGGACCTGATCATGACCAACGGCTCTCAGGATGGCATCAGCAAAACCTTGGAAATGGTTGTGGAAGAAGGCGATTCGGTGCTGGTTCAGAACCCTTTGTATACCGGCACTGAGATTGTGGTAAGTGGTTTCCATCCTGGGAAACACTGCTGGTGCTAACAGGGGCCGATTGCAGCTGAAGCCGTTCAAGCCCAACCTCATCGGCATCGATCAGGACGAGTTCGGGATTATTCCTTCGAAACTGATCGACGCCTTGGAGAACTGTAAAGCCTACACGGAGGAAGGCGGAGGGAAACGAATGCCAAAGGCCATCTACCTCAATCCGACCGGTTCGAACCCGACAGGCATTACAATGTCCTTAGAGCGGAGGCAGGAAATCTATGCGATTTGCTGCAAATACAACATCCTGATCCTGGAAGATGACGCCTACTGCTTCCTACACTTCCAAGAGGAGGAGCCCGTCTCCTTCCTGTCCCTGGACGTGGAAGGGCGAGTGATCAGGTTCGACTCCATGTCGAAGGTTTTGTCCTCTGGGCTGCGCCTCGCTTGGTTAACCGGCCCCAAACAATTGGTCAGCAACATTGAGCTGCATATTCAGAGCGACATGCTGCATTCCAGCACTTTGTCTCAGGTAAGACTTCAAAACTAGGCCTTTTTTCCTGATAGAATTTTTGGAAACTGCATTTTTTGTTCCGAGTTTTTTAATGAAAGTTTTGCAATTTTTCATTTGGCACCAGTGTCGTGACAAAAATGGCATTAAAGCATGTATTATGTATTTGCTGTGCCGAGACCTTCGGGCACGACACTGGATCGAAACGAAAAATTGCAATAGATTTATGTTTTGTAAGTTTAATTCCGTTTAATGGACAAAACTCTCTTATAATGAAAATTTTGCATGTTTTGGTTTCTTTCCAGTTGTCGGCACAACAAATACATAAGATATGGTTTAATAGCATTTTTGTGCCAAAGGAAAAATTGCGAAACAATCATGTTCTGTAAGTTTTTTGGATTTAACGGATGAAACTCTCTTATAATGAAAGTTTTGCAATTTTTTATTTGGCACCAGTGTCGTGACGAAAATGACATCAAACCATGTATTATGTATTTGCTGTGCCGAGACCTTTGGGCACGACACTGGATCGAAACGAAAAATTGCAATAGATTCATGTTTTGTAAGTTTAATTCCCTTTAATGGACAAAACTCTCTTATAATGAAAATTTTGCATGTTTTGGTTTCTTCCCAGTTGTCGGCACAACAAATACATAAGACATGGTTTAATAGCATTTTTGTGCCAAAGGAAAAATTGCGAAACATTCATGTTTTGTAAGTTTTTTGCATTTAACGGATGAAACTCTCTTATAATGAAAGTTTTACAATTTTTCATTTGGCACCAGTGTCGTGACAAAAATGACATTAAACCATGTATTATGTATTTGCTGTGCCGAGACCTTCGGGCACGACACTGGATAGAAACGAAAAATTACAATAGATTCATGTTTTGTAAGTTTAATTCCATTTAATGGACAAATCTCTCTTATAATGAAGATTTTTCATGTTTCGGTTTCTTTCCAGTTGTCGGC